GAAAATATATATCAATGATTGGGTGGGGGGGGGGGTGCCAAAATACTGTTTGCTTACCATTGAAAATTACCTAGGACCACCTCTGAGTATAGTCAGAGGCGGCCCTAGGTAATTTTCAATGGTAAGCAAACAGTATTTTGGCCCCCCCCAACCAATCACTGATATATATTTTCTGTTCATCGTGGGAGTTCCGTGTGCCATATTTGGTTCAATTCCATCATTGGTGGAGTTCAGAATGCTCTTTGATTGTAGGTGAACTATACATCCCAGTAACTACAACTCGCATATGTCAAGGTCTATTTTCCCCCAAGAGCGCCTCAAGAGCCCCTCTGGGCAAAATCAACTATACTGCAAATGCTTACTTTGCGTAATAGGTTGCTGAGGCTTCCCCCGGACTGCTAGGGCTGTTGTGAGCCGAGGGGGCGCTCCTCAAGTGGTGGTTGAGGGGCATTTACAGAGGCGCCTCTGCACCCCTGGCAAAAAAAAGTGTACTGCGACCGCTTACTTTGCGTAATGGATGAGCCGCCCCTGAGTATAGTTGAATTTGCCCAGGGATGCTCTTGAGGCACTCTTGGGGGAAAATAGACCTTGACATATGCGAGTTGTAGTTACTGGGATGTATAGAGCATTCTGAACTCCACGAATGATGGAATTGAGCCAAATATGGCACACAGAACTCCCACGAGGAACAGAAAATATATATCAATGATTGGTTGTGGGGGGGGGGGGGCAAAATACTGTTTGCTTACAGTCGAAAATTACCTAGGGCCGTCTCTGGGTACAAATAAAGTTGTTATTATTATTATTATTATTATTATTATTATTATTATTATTATTATTAGGGACCCTCCCAAGAGCAGGCTTGAAGCCTCTCTCATTTGAATTAACCAAAAAAGCAAGAGCTTGGGGCCTGCTAAAGGACCCCTGGGCCCCTTCCGGGTCTCCTCCAGCTGCAGTGAGATTCCCCAAGCCCAGGGCTTACCGAAGAGGGCATTGGCGAAGCCATACCAGCGGCAGCCTGCTTGCCCAAAGAGCCACCGGCCCTCGAGGCTGGAGGCGAATCCGAAGGAGGTCCCGCAGAGGCAGGCCAGGAGGTCGCTGAGGCTGAGGTTGAGCAGGAGGAGGTTGAGAGGGGTCCGGATGGCCGGGAACTTGGCGAAGAGCAGCAGCACCAGCAGGTTGTTGAGGCCTCCCAGGAGCAGGATCCCGCCCAGGCACACCGCCACCGCCAAGTGCCCCACACGACCCAAACTGCCGGCCACACAAGCCAAGAGGGAGCAGTCCAGCAGGGCTTCCAAGTGGCCCTCTTTGGCCCCGGGGTCCTGGCTCTGGTTGGAGAGCTTGTGGGGTTGGATGCCCAGCTCCAAACGCATCCCTGCGAGCTTCCTTGGAGGCGAAATGACCTCGCTGTGCGCTTTTACGCACGACTTTTTTGCACTTTTACGCACGACTTTTTGCGCTTTCCTTTCTCAGCAAATCTATCCCCAAAACAACCCCTTCTTGGCACTGTCTCTTGCCTCTCCCCCGTGGGCTTCTTTTCCCCTGAATTGAGTTTTTTTCCCCCCCAAACTTCACCCTTTAGTCAGTCCCCTTCTTGGATAGGGGAAGGATCTCCAAGTGCGCCTTTCTGATCCGAAACCAGCTTTGAAAGGAGACTTCCAGCACCGATTTTTGGTAGATCCAATCCAGAAAGGGATGCCTTCCCTCTGCACCAAGTCTGGGTGGATCCAATCCTCCCCAATCCGGAAAGGAATCGCTTTTTCCAACCCGTTTCAACGATCAGAAACAAAGAAAAGTCCAGGACGCGTTGGAGGCGCAACTATGCGCGCTCTCTCTTTCTCTTTGCGCTCTCTTTCTCCTTGGCTTTGGTCAGATCTGGAGATGGTAGTCAATCCTTCATTCCCTTTCTTCTTGAGGGACTTATCAACTGCACCCCAATGAACGCAATGGAACCAGCATCCTTCGACGTGTATCCCGAGTCAAAAAGTTTGCAGCTGGAAAGGAAAGTCTACTTTGACGCACTGCATCTCTCCCTGCCTTCTGTTCCTCGAGTTGAGCACTGAGCAGCTTTGGCCTCCTTTCTGCCCTCAGTCCCAAGCCCCACCCGCAGCCAAGCAAAACTTACTGTTGGGGGGGGGGGGCAGTTTGAATGACCCCATGAAGGAGCCGGCTGGTTTGCTGGCCCATGCATGTGAGGGTGCAGAGCAACAAGTAGGAGGAGGCTGCTTCCTGACCCACCCTCTCGCCCTATGGACAGTGTGAGTATAAACTGGCCGTGCCATTTTTCCCCCTCCCAAGTTTGCATTGTAGGGATTTTCGCCTGCCCCACACTGTTTCTGATGGGTGTGGGAATTGGCTTTGGGATGGCATCATATAAATAGATTTCCTTGAATCTATATAAATAAAAATGTAATGTTCCTTTGTGGGATTAACAGAACTCAAAAGCCACTGGAAGAATTGACACCAAATTTGGACACAATACACCTAACAGTCCAATGTATCTCCTTCATTCAAAAAAAAATATTTTGTCATTTGGGAGTTGTAGTTCCTGGGATTTATATTTCACCTACAATCAAAGAACATTCTGAACCCCACCAACGATGGAACTGAATTCTTAATTCCACCAGTGGCGGAATTGAATCAAACTTGGCACACAGAACTCCCATGACCAACAGAAAATACAGGAAGGGTTTGGTGGGCAGTGTCCTTTGGTTTTGGAGTTGTAGTTCACCTACATCCAGAGGTGGCCCTAGGTAATTTTTAACGGTAAGCAAACAGTATTTTGCTCCCCCCCCCCAAACCAATCACTGATATATATTTTCTGTTTGTCGTGGGAGTTCTGTGTGCCATATTTGGTTCAATTCCATCATTAGTGGAGTTCAGAATGCTCTTTGATTGTAGGTGAACTATACATCCCAGTAACTACAACTCGCATATGTCAAGGTCTATTTTCCCCCAAGAGCGCCTCAAGAGCACCCCTGGGCAAAATCAACTATACTGCAAATGCTTACTACGCGTAATCGTTGAGCCGCCCCTGTCTACATCCAAAGATGACTGTGGACTCTCTTGGTCATGCGGGTTCTGTGTGCCAATTTGGTTCAATTCCATCATTGGTGGAGATCAGAATGCTCTTTAATTGTAGGTGAACTATAAATCCCAGTTACTACAACTCCCAAATGTCAAGGTTGATTTCCCCCAAACTCCACCAGTTTTCACATTTGGGCATATTGAGTATTTGTGCCAGGTTTGGTCCAGATCCATCATTTTTTGAATCCACAGTGCTCTCTGGATGTAGGGGAACTACAACTCCCAAACTCAAGGTCAATGACCACCAAACCCTCCCAGTATTTTCTGTTGGTCATGGGAGTTCTGTGTGCTATGTTTGGTTCAATTGCATCATTGGTGGAGTTCAGAATACTCTTTGATTGTAGGTTTACTATAAATCCCAGCAACTACAACTCCCAAATTACAAAATCAATCCCCCACAACCCCACCAGTATTCAAATTTGGGTGTATTGGGTATTTGTGCCAAATTTGGTCCAGTGAATGAAAATACAACCTGCATATCAGATATTTACATTACTATTCATAACAGTAACAAAATGACAGTTATGAAGTAGCAATGAAAATAACGTTATGGTTGGGGGTCGCCACAACATGAGGAACTGGATTAAGGGGTCATGGCATTAGGAAGGTTGAGAAACACTGTGTGATCTGTGGTTTGTACTTCTTCACACTCGTATGTTATGGACTCTGCATCTCGTGGTGCCAGAGTGCAGTCTGTTCAGCACCTTCCAAGTCGCCCAGCCTTCTTTGTGCCCAGGAGGGAGTCTCTCATTTGGTATCAGCCATGAATTGAGGTTCCGGGTTTTAGTCTGCCACTTTTGGACTCTCGCTTGCTGTGGAGTTCCTGCCAGTATCTTTGTAGATTTTAGAAAGCTATCTCTTGATTTAAGGCATTGCCATGCTGGCTGCTATCCAACAGGGGGTAGGCCGGAGATGCCACTGCCTTGATCCTTTCATTATTGGCTGCTAATCCTGGTAGATTTCAGGTGTTACAATACTGGCTAAACAGTATAATTTCTCCAGTGGTGTTGGATGTAGATATCTTGTGATAATGCGGCATGACTCATTAAGAGTAACATCCACTGTTTTAACGTGGTGAGATGTGTTCCACGCTGGGCATGTGTATTCAGCAGCAAAGTAGCAAAGTGCAAGGGAAGACGTCTTCACTATGTCTGGTTGTGATCCCCAGGTCGTGCCAGTCAGCTTTCGTATGACATTATTTCTAGCACCCGCTTTTTGCTTGATATTCAAGCAGTGTTTCTTGTAGGTCATAACACTGTCCAGGGAAGTGTTAGCTGGTCCTCCCAACAAAGGATTCCTCCAGGCAGTAAGCAGCCAAGCCTTGAAGCTACAAGGCCATTAAATGCTAATCAAGGTGGCCAAATGCAATATTCACCCTTGCCTCAAAGACACAAGAGTTCTTTCTCCCACACTAGACATTCCACAGATATATAAAACTCACTTGCCTTGTAACCAACATACCTCACAACCTTTGAGAATGCCTGCCATAGATGTGGGCGAAACATCAGGAGAGAATGCTTCTGGAACATGGCCAGATATATAAAACTCACTTGTCTTGTTACCAACATACCTCACAACCTTTGAGGATGCCTGCCATAGATGTGGGTGAAACATCAGGAGAGAATGCTTCTGGAACATGTCCAGATATATAAAACTCACTTGCCTTGTTACCAACATACCTCACAACCTTTGAGGATGCCCTCCATAGATGTGGGTGAAACATCAGGAGAGAATGCTTCTTGAACATGGCCAGACAGCATGGAAAAATCACAGCAACCCTGGTGTCAGTCTGAGAGAGCCCTCAGTGTGAGAAGGCCTCAGTGGTAGAAAGGAAAGGCCTCGGTGTGAGGTAGGCCTCAGTGTTAGTAGGTAAGCCTCAGTGTTAGTTCCTTCTGCCAGTCTGAGAGAGCCTTCAGTGTGAGGTAATGCCTCAGTGTGAGGTGGGCCTCAGTGTTAGTAGGGCTCACTATATGAGAGGCATCAGTCTGAGAAAGCCCTCAGTGTGAGAAGGCCTCAGTGGCAGAAAGGAAAGGCCTCAGTGTGAGGTAGGCCTCAGTGTTAGTAGGCCTCAGTATATGAGCGACATTAGTCTGAGAGAGCCTTAGTGTGATAATGCCTCAGTGTGAGGTAGGCCTCAGTGTTAGTAGGCCTCAGTATATGAGCGACATCAGCCTGAGAGAGCCTTCAGTGTGATAATGCCTCAGTGTGAGGTGGGCCTCAGTGTTAGTAGGGTTCAGTATATGAGAGGCATCAGTCTGAGAAAGCCCTCAGTGTGAGAAGGCTCCAGTGGCAGAAAGGAAAGGCCTCGGTGTGAGGTAGGCCTCAGTGTTGGTAGGCCTCAGTATATGAGCGACATCAGTCTGAGAGAGCCTTCAGTGTGATAATGCCTCAGTGTGAGGTGGACCTCAGTGTTAGTAGGCCTCAGTATATGAGCGACATCAGTCTGAGAGAGCCTTCAGTGTGATAATGCCTCAGTGTGAGGTAGGCCTCAGTGTTAGTAGGCCTCAGTATATGAGCGACATCCGTCTGAGAGAGCCTTCAGTGTGATAATGCCTCAGTGTGAGGTGGGCCTCAGTGTTAGTAGGCCTCACTATATGAGAGGCATCAGTCTGAGAGAGCTCTCAGTGTGAGAAGTCCTCAGTGGGAGAAATACCTCAGTGTAAGTAGGGGGTCACCACAACATAAGGAACTGTATTAAGGGGTTGCCGCATTAGGAAGGTTGAGAACCACTGTTCTAGCTGCTACAGAGAATGAGACCCAGCAGCTTGAACTGGGGATGCTGGGCAGTACAGTCCAAACAGGAATTCTGCCAAGTCTTTTGAGGGCCAGCTTTGAAAGATCAGACAACAAGATAAGAGGCGTGGAAAGATCATATGAGGAAAGCCTCTTCTTGCATGAGAATGAGAAATGTTCCAAAGGCACATTCATGAATGCCAAAATTGTTTTAAGCAATCTCATAATAACAAAGACAATATTTGAACGGAGTTTCTGATCAAGCCAGTGTGTAACAAACACAAGGCAAGGCATAGATCATGAGTTTTCCCTCGAGCGGATAACTATCACCTTGATAAGAGCTGACTATTAGACAAGTTATTCACGGCTCCGAAGGGAAGCAAGGAATACAAGGGATTCAAAGAGGGATTCAATCATGGTTTCCAGAACACAATGCTTAAACTACTATATATACCATGCTGGCAGAGTGCCATGGAATGCCATGGAATCCTGGGAGTGTATTGTCAAAGGCTTTCATGGCCGGAATCACTGGGTTGTTGTAGGTTTTTTCGGGCTATATGGCCATGTTTTAGAGGCATTCTCTCCTGACGTTTCGCCTGCATCTATGGCAAGCATCCTCCCTACCTCTGAGGACACCTTGTTCTCCCTTTTCTCCTTCCTTTTCCCCCTTTTTCTTTCCTCCTTCCTCTTTCCCTTTCCTTCCTTTCCCTCTTTTCTTCTTCCTTTTCTTTTCTTTTTTCCTTCTTTCCCTTCCATTCTTCCTTCCTTTTCTTTTGTCTTTCCTTCCTCTTTCCTCACCCCCTCTTTCTCCTTCCATCCTTCCCTTCCTCCCTTTCATCCTTCATTCCTTCTCTTTCCTTTATCCCTCCCTCCCTTTCTTTTCTTCCTCCCT